TTTTGTATTTATTTATATTTTAACATTTTTTTTATAAATTTTAAAATTCTAATAAAGCGGTTACAATTTTTGTCCTGTGCAAATATTGCCTGCGCATCCAATATTAATGCACTCTCTATGACTCGCAATGAATTTGCTATCGACAATCATGTCAGGCTGTTCATCAACCACCTTGAAACCCTTTCGTCGAGCCCTATCAACGTCAAATTCAATTTCTTCAATATCTATTTCCGGAATTTTCGGTGGATAATTGGGGGGAATTACATTTGGAGGAAATCCATCTCTCTGAGATAGTTCTTTACACACAAGCACCAGACCAGCTATATTCACCGGCCTCGGAGGAGCATCTAATTCACTTTCCTCGAACACTTTATCAGGCATACAGAACTTGGAGCTTGCTTCAGCAGCTCTTCTTTCATCTTCGTCAGGATAGGGTACTTTAGTACACAAAAATTCATTAAAAGATCCTGTATTCCTAAACAATAATTTTTTTCCTACAATTGAGTAGGGATTGATTGTGTAAGTTCCAAAACAGGTTAATCTGAAGAAAAGTCTTATGTAGCCAGAGGGTTTGTATTCTTCGTCTACTAAAGCAAACGTATTCTTTATTTGGTACGATTTTGGCAGATGGTATATGTCATTGCCTGCCATTGTCACGTGGTCACAGAGACAACCTGGTATTGGAATCCTTGAATTTCCCAATGGATGTTTTATCACTTCCTCAGGACATATAAGAATCTCTTTAATTTTATACACATCCAACAGTAACGGTTTTTCCCGCATTTTTTCTACCAATTCACCGGGGTTTCTAGTAAACACATACATTTTACCGGCATTGAAGTGAATCGTGTGTATCCCATATTCCCGCGTTATTTCTTTTGACCTGTCTGGTTTGGTTAGTAGAAAGTCACTTTGAAATATTCGAAACAATGGCATGTCAATGAATTGTAGATCAACGCCTAATTCGTTGGGAAGGATTTTATGCAATTTTTCGGAGTATATTCTGACAGAATCGACGAAGACTTCTAGACTGTATAATTTCTCGTCTTTCACGGAGGTACACGCTCTGAGATTTCGGTTCATATTAACGGAAAATTTCTCCTGATATCTCTTATGAAGGTAGTCTGGATTTACTTAGAATTTTGTGGATAATTAGCCTAAATGGTTGAACAATTTGAATAAAAAAATGACGAGAACAGTTGAATTGAAAAATTTGTAATTCGCCATGTTTATAGTATGGCGGGTGCGCGATCCAAATAGAAAACGCATTTGATCGAGTTTGTAGGCATATATTTGATTTCCATGATTAATATAGGTGTTCAATTATTATGTACAATATTGACGCAATCGACTATTACTGCGATCTTCACCAAATTAATACTCGTCAATGTAAAATCTTTCTATCCTTTGTACAATCTTTCTCTCCCTCTTTTAAAAATATTGTGCTAATATGCATTTAGCTACCAGTCTTCTGAGCAATATATTTCATTTGCAGTATAATGAAATACATTGTTTAAATTTCATACAATTATTATAAACAAATACACTCATACCATTCATTCATATTCGTTGGTATCAAAATATATTGCAGCTAACACAAAGGCAGTGGAAAGCTGAAATTATATTATTCATTATATATTAAAATTTATATGCTATAAATTTCAACTAGAAAACAAAACATGTTGACGTGATAAAATAAAATTGTAAATATGAAAAATACGAGCAATAATATTGTCTTCAACTACAATCTAATTCTAGGTCCAAAAATGGAAGACATTCTTGAATTACATATTTCATATAATAAAAAAATTAAGGTACATGATTTTCTTTTTCTCTATTCGATCGCGATGGAGTCGAACTAAATACATTTTTCATGTTCTCTTTCCAATCATATAAACGAAACTTCTCATCGGTCATTAGAATTCGATCACCCCAGCAAGCTTTCTGCTTTATTGGAGTAGTGTTATAGCTATCAGTTATATTCGTTGTGCTACTCATACTGTAAGTTTGATAACCAGTATCTTGTACAGAATTGGAAACACTTTGCTGATCGGAAATACCAAGCATTGTGTTAGTCTGCTGTAATATGTAACTTTCGTTTGTATTTATCTTGCACGACTCGGTTAGATATTTAAACGTGTTGACAACATTAACCTGTTCAGGATTAAATTCTAAAGTTCCTGTCTCATGATTGTGCTCGAATTCTGTCGAGTTCTTTGCAAGAACTTTTACTTCCGCGCAGGTATCAGCTTGAATACGTGCGTGGTATACATTATTAAGTGATTTATCTGAAAAATATAATTATGCAATTTCTATAAAAAATAATACTGTTTGAGGTATTTTAGTAAAAATGTTATTAATGAATAATAATTACCTTCAGAATGGTTATCCAAACATTCCTTATCTTGTATACTGGATTGATCTATACTCATTTCTGTAGTGAAATCTAATCGAGCAACCGAACGGGGTCGAGATCGCACACTTTCGCACGACATATTATTTATCGTACTCTGTATAGGAGATATATTAGGTGGCGATAAATTTTCAGAGATAATTTGTGACGTTTCATGATTGTAGCCCTCATCTTGTGAATGCTGAAGGAGAGAAATTAACGTTTTTTTAAATTTACATTTCCCAGATGGATAAAATTAATAGAAAAATGTTTTTATCTACCTTCAGTGCAGCACCATGGACTAACATTCCACTTTGTGGAGGGCTGGAAGACAATACTAGAGATCCATTTATTTTTACTGGTGAGAGGCAAACTGAAGAGTCTTCTTCATTTTCTACAAAGTCTTCATGATTGAAGAATAACTTTCGTCTTAAGGAGTTGTTACTTGAATTTGCATCATCACTTTCAACATTTTGCTCCTAAAAATGAAAGGACAGAAACTTAGACATTAAATCAGAATAACTGAGTTAGATAATAATGTTAACTTTGTATTTACTTGAGTAAATGTAAAGTAAGGTTTTAAAATTTCTATGACATGTGATGGCAATTCAGGGGGGAATGTTAATACTGTTTGACTCCAGCCTAAAGAAGAAAAAAAATTAAAACATAGAAAATATATTTCCCAATTATTTATAGTAAGCTACCATCTTTCTTTGCTTTTGCTGATTCTGAATTCAAGTCACTGCAGACTGTTATAGGAGTATTCACTTTAATATTTGTTCTAATCTCTTTTCTTTTTAACTCCCATGGACTTGGAATTATTTCATTTCCATTGAAAAATTGATCAATGGCTGCTTGAGCTTTTATTTCAGTCTCTGGATCTATGCAATGAATCTGTTGCGAGGGAAATTCTTCTATCTTTGCTGGTTGCATTAATGCCAGCTCATCAACACTCCAAGCAAAATCTGGAGATTGCTGAGGTGAATTTGAGGCCTATACATGTCATTAACAAGTACATACATTTTTTAGAAAGTGACAGAAATTAATTCCTTTAGCTGAATCATGTTAAATAGAAAAATTTTTAATTTTTTATAAACATTTTAAAAAATTACCTTATTAAATACTGTTGGACTAATCACAGATAAATGTAATCTACTAGTTAAATCAGTTTCAAATGGATTTCTTGCTATGAACTTTGTTAAACCTGATGGTGGTGTAATATGATTTGGTAGAACACTAAAGCAACTCGTGTTATTTTGATATGTTGCATGCCTTGAACTTGTTTCATATTTTTTCACAGGAGTTTTATAAATTATAGGACTAGTACATATAAAATTTTCACGTTCATTTCTATTTTTAATCGGTGTTGACCACTTCAATTGCTCCATTCCAATGCAACTACAATATCACCATCAATTTGAGTTTTAATTATTCACAATTATCCAAGTATACATCTAAAATCTTTCTTTACACTTTTGTTAAAAAGTATAACTCAAGTATACTTCTTTTTATAACGAATAAGATAATATTTTTCATTTAAAACAATTTTAAAAATTGATTAAAAAACTTACTTCTGCTATCGTCGACCTGTTAACGTCTTTTCAAGCTTATTCTTTCGATTTATAACTGAAAAAACGTACAAATAGTACAAATATTTTACAAACTTATTTTATCAAGCTATTAGTACTGTTCTACGTATTTTGATTTAAAGTTGTAACAATTATTTTGCCATAATATATAAATTTATTTACAATTTGAATTATTTTGAAACAACGAACATAGTCATATGCTGCGTCATAGGTAATATACTGAAAAATGACTGGCTACTAAATTACGAATACCAACATTAATTTAGTATAAACTTTAATCTAATAATTTAATTGAAGTTGCAATGTAATTAAAATTTAGCATTTTGATAGCTGCTTAATTAGTTGACTAAATTTTTGTTCACTAAATTTAAAAGTTTAATACTTTAAAAAGGCGTTAGTGACATTGCAACTTGGGAAAACATTATTTTCCCTACTATTTTTCAAGTATTGCCAACCTATTCAAGCATTTTCATAGTTCATTATCTTAAAGTAATTGAAATGGTTTGTTACGTTCCATATTTAAATGTTTCAGTATAAGTCATTTAATATTAATAAAGTACTAATAATTGTGGGACATTTTATTTCGTAGTCCATCGGTGATACGATACGATGAGATTAATTAGTATTTGCAACAATTGCACGTATTAGGTAGTTGTAACCTTCAAAGTTATGACTTTATCGTCGATTGCTAAAAAACTATTAGTTGTAATATTTTATGTGTTTGAATTGTAGCATTAGCAAAAAGTATGAAGTGACGATCAGTGATGTTAATACTTGTTTCGTAAATTCTTTGTGAGTCTCAAATTCTATGTTAGAAATACTGTATTACTTGTTGTATTTGTTGTTCTTATTATGATGTTATTTTAAAGAGTGAAGTAAAAATGGTAGCTGGTCCTACAGAACATGGCTTACAAGCCGATGTAATATTTGTAATTGAAGGAACAGCTGTTAATGGAGCTTATCTGAATGACCTAAAAACAAATTATTTAATTCCTACACTTGAGTAAGATTTTGCCTTTTGCATATCATATATTTCCTATTATGTTTATGAATACTTATTAATTCAAAATATTTTATGATACAGATATTTCAGTCAAGGTGGTATTGAGGACAGGGAATATGTTTCTGAGGTAAAATATCAAAAAACAGCATTTTTCATTTTTGAAGTTTTGTATTTTTAACAATAAAAAAAATTATTCTTTAGCAGAACAGTACAACATTATATGGAATAGTAGTATACCATGCTGCTGATTGTTTACCAGCACCATGTACAGAGACTTTTGGGCCATATGCAAATCCTCATAAGTTGCTGCTTGTGTTAGATAAATTAGAGTAAGCAAACTGATAATTCATACACACATTTGGAATTTATATTTGGTAATCACTGGCAATATTTTTATTTAGGTTGGTTGGAGGAAAGGGAGAATCTTTTGCAAACATTGGAGAAGGTCTTGCAACTGGTTTACAATGTTTTGAAGATTTGCAATTACGACGCGAGCCGAATACAGCATCACAGAAACATTGTATTTTGATTTGTAATTCTCCCCCATATCAGATAGTCATACAGGAATCATATAAATTTGCTGGGCATACTATAGAACAACTGGCTTCACTTTATCAGGAGGTATATTTCAGCTAATAAATTAAATGATAGTTATAAATTACAATTCACATAAAAAATATTTTTTTTCAGAGAAACATTAATCTTTCCATACTATCACCTAGAAAAATACCTGCATTGTTTAAATTATTCGAAAAAGCTGGGGGAGATCTGCAATCATCCCAGACCAAAAATTACGCTAAAGATCCGCGACATTTAGTACTACTACGTAATTACAATTTGAAGGAAAGACCTGTTAGTCCTACAATTGGAGGGGCTGTTCATAATACACCGGGTACAGCTGCACAAATTCCACTGAGTCCATTGCAGAGTAATGACAGTCCAAATACAAATCAAGTTCAACAAAATATCACTCAACCAAGTCAGCCTCAAGGTCCACCATTCAGAAATCAAACTCCGCAGAATATTACTTCAGTTCATCAACCAGTGGTACCAATGGCAGCCGCTATGAACGCTGGACGGCCTCCTTACAATCCTCAGATATCTGCTCCGCCGACTTATCACCCTACAAGTGTAGCAGCAAGAGCAGGTCATACTAGATGGAGACCGTTTGTAACACCAGGAACTACTGGTCCAGCAAACACACAAAGTAGTGCTTTAATAGCACAATTAAACCAACCACCTCCGTCCATGGGACTCAATGTATCTCAGTTTGGACAAAGGATGGATGGTAAGATTTTAATACTATGTGAGGTCTTGTTGAGTCTTTTTATTTGAAAAATTCATATATTAATGTATATAATTTACGTACCCAGTTGCGAATACCAATGTTATGACTGCTAACGCACAACAACAACAACAACAACAACAGCAGCAACAACAACAACAATTGACTCAACAACAACAACTGAGATTAACGATGCAGTTGCAGCAGCAACAGCAGCAACAACAACAGCAAAACGTTCAACAGCAGGGTTCGATGCCTATAACAGCGCAACCAACTCATGGACAGGCTGGTCCACAACTTACAGTATCATGTGTGAGCCAGTCTGTGCCCACTCAAGTACCGCAAACAGTTACCGCTTCTCAGACACAGGCATCCGCATCTTCAGTGTCTCAACAACAGCAAGTAACACATTCTCAAACACAGGTAATACTTTCAAGTAATAAGGAAAGTTTAAAATATGAGGCAAAAGGAAAAGAATATTAATCATGTTAATATAATTCGTAAAGGGTAATGTACCAGCTGGTTCAGTAGGACCAGGACCACAAATTAGCACACCACGTGAGAGACAGACCATATGGCAAGGTATCATTGAATGGGTTGAAAAAGCTAAAACCCCCGCGGATGCACAAAAACAAACCAGACATCTTCCTTGCCAAGTTTCTGCGAACTCCAAAGATGGAGATCCAGAATTGTAAGTTTTTTTTTGTTAGAGAAAAGTAATTGCAAAATATTGTAAATTTAATGTATTTTAGGAAAGCTGACACATGGCCACAAAAGCTAATTATGCAGCTAATGCCTAAACAGTTAATAGGAAATATTGGTGGATCTTATTTAAAAAATTCTAAATCCGTTCTGTTTCATCCAACACCTTGCGAAGCACTCGAATCATTAACGAAAGTTATGAATTCCGGATTTGTTAGTATGCTGTGTTATAGTAGTTCTTATATAAGAAATTTAAGGAAATATTTTTAGTAATATAAAAAATTAATATTTCAGGCAGGTTGTGTCCATTTTACATTTTTGCAAGCAACAGCGGCTTGTGACATAAAAGTACTTATTCTTCTTTATACGGCTGAGAGAAGAACGTATTTAGGATTCATTCCGAACGATCAGACAGGTTTTGTAGATCGTCTTCGGAAAGTAATTCAACAGCAAAAGACATCGCATGCTTCCATGAGGCAAGGACAAGTGAGTAGAAATTTACAGTTTAAAATGGGATGTTAGCCATTTCAATTTATACACAAATGTAACAACTATAACAGGCCGGGGCTGCTCAAGGAAATGCAATAACTGGTCCAATGCCTACTACAGGCACTTCGCAAGGAGGTATTCTTATGTCACAAACAAATACTATAGCTATGGGAGGAGGACAAATAACGCAAAATGTGGTCTCATCAAATCCTCAACAACAAACATTAACTTCATCTGCAGGTCCGCAGAATCAAATAAATATGCAGGTAAGGCATATTACGAGTAAATTTTAATGAATGTAATAAGTAAATGTGTTTGAATAATATTTAGAACATTAAGCATTAGAAATAAGTACTATCTACATAGATACACGATATAAACGATGAAGTAAAGAATTCGTTTTATTGATACGCTAATAGAGTGGTGGTATTACTGGTCCCCAAGTGGCTCCAGCTTCTGGTACGATGATAGGACAGCAAAGACCACAATTTGATGACATAGAAATAGCTAGGCATCAAAATTTATTAAAAATTCAACAACTACGGCAAACGTTAGAAGCTGCGCAGCAACAGGAGGCGCAATATAAGTCGCAACTGGAAGTAAATGTAAGCCAATAAGTATAACAAACAAAGTAAGGAAAAAAAGTTACTAAAAAAAGTAAATTCACAGAATTCACATATATAATTAACTTTATAGATTCAACAGAATCTAGAAGTAGCACAGCAACAGGAAATGCAATATAAACAACAGTTGGAGGTGAACTGTTTTTTAGAAGTTATCATACATTCTTTTGTATACTTTCGTACGGGAGAAGAAAGGAGACAAACGAACAAAATTTGTTACAGGCTCAACAAGCACAAAGAGCTCTCAATCCTGCTGGTATGACGAATCAACAAGCAAATGCTCCCAGATTGATGCGGCCCGTTTCAAACATGGGTCTTAGACACTTGTTGCAACAAGTACGCAATGATATATTTATCAACTGATTTGGTATCAACTGATTTATAAACATATTTTAATTTTGTAGCCACAACCACCATATAGGCAACAAGTACTTGGATTACAACAACAAATGGTTGGTCCTAGAGGACAAATGACAACAAGACCCATGGCGCCCGGCAATCCACAGAATCAACAATTCGAGGACGTATCGAATTATGACTTTCTTGGATAAATAATTTAAATGCTTCTTTTACGAAAATTGTCATACTGTAAATATTATACTCCAGTAAATTATACGTCAATGTACACGATTAATAATTTTGACGTGTAATGCAAACTTTGGAATATTTATACACGCTAAAATGTTACGAAGATTTGTGAAATGAGTATTCAGTTTTATAAGAAAAATAATTCTACTCAATAAATTATGATGAACACAGCTATGAACTGCCTTTCTACCATCTCTGAATCTGTTTAGAAATTGACTGCAAAAAATCTTCATAAGAAAGTATATGAAAAAAAATTGTAACAACCTTGTTATCGATGGAGAAAAAAGCACGTGACAAGAAACGACAAGGTTATGCATCATTCCATTAACTGTAATAATTCTCCAACAACATGTGAGAAACCTGTTGTTTGCGAGAACAGAACATAAAAGACTAGAAATATTGTATTGGTAATATTATAAGTGAAACATCACTAATAGTAAGTAATTTTACTTTCATCTATGAATGCAGTGCGTAATTAAATTTAAAAAATTATGGAACATGACTATTTTGTTTATATACGGTACTGCGTATGTTTTGTCGGATGTATATATATATATATTGTGGCGGTACAATTTTTGATTGACATATTATGCTTTTTTGTACAGAATATTTTTTCTTTTTCAAAAATATATTTGTCTTTTTGTTTTTAATGCTGGAATTTAATTCAACCTTATTTTTAATAATTTTATGAGGATGACATGGTTCCTACAGCAATGAAAACACTAAAATGATTAGAAAGTATAATGAAATGAAATATATAATATCAATAGAAGTAGAAATAATAGTGAGTAAGATATCCTTTTGACCTCAGCTCATACTGATAAATTAAGATTACTCAATGATTCGCTTGGCAGTCCACTAGGGGGTCTTAATAAATGTAATCAATCATCAACTTTGTACATTATAGTCCACTATGATGTTTAGTTTTTAGTTTTCTCATTTTCTATTGTGCTTTTTCAAATCTGTGTATTTTTTAATATCCTGATTTTCAGTTTTTAGATCATGGGTATTATAAGGTTCTACAAAGCACCTGGGTTAAAGTCAGGTCAACTTAAAAATAAATTTAACAATCTTGTTCAAATATCACATTTAATCAATGGCTTGGAAACTGAATTGTGCTACTATATTGAAACTAAAGAACCTTTAAATGATGAAGAATTGAAAGTGCTAAAATGGATTTTAACATCACCATTGAAGCCACATAGTTTAAAAAATACCAGTATATTTGATGAGAAATTAAATAATTGCCTAATTATTGAAATTGGTCCAAGGTAAGACAAGTGGTAGACAATTAATTAATGTTAAAATATTGTTTAAAAGAAATATTACATATTTTCCATGTTTTTACAGATTGAATTTTTCTACAGCATTCTCCAGCAATGCTGTATCAATTTGTAGATCTGTACATTTAAATAAAATAACAAGAATTGAAGCAGTAACTAGATACTGCATTAAACATAATGGAACAATTGACAAGAAAGTTGAAGATGCTGTATGTAAACGATTGTAATAATGTTTTTAATATAAATACTATATATTTCTTCAGTTTGTTTTTGTATTTAGGTAACAGATGTTCTACATGATAAAATGACTCAATGCAGATATATGAATCCAATAGAAACATTTGATCATGGTTTTAGACCAGAAAACTGGTTTGAGGTTGATGTTTTACAGGAGGGGAGAACAGCATTAGAAAATGTAAACTCAAAATTAGGTATATACTTGGAATAAAATATTACAAGAAACTTTATTCAAGATAAAGTTATATACTTTTTATACTCTGTCTAGGTTTGGCATTTGATAACTGGGACTTGGACTTTTACACACATTTATTTCTCAATAAGTTAAAACGTAATCCAACTAGCGTTGAATGCTTCGATTTGGCACAATCTAATAGTGAACACAGTCGTCATTGGTTCTTTAAAGGTCGAATGATTGTTGATGGTGAAGACACAAAAAAATCATTGATTGATATGATCATGGAAACGCAAAAATACTCCAATCCAAACAATACAATTAAGTTTAGCGATAACAGTAGTGCAATCAAGGGATACAAAACAAACATTTTACGACCAGACAAGACTTACACTTGTAGTCCTTTTCATTTGGAAAATGTATATCAAGATCTGATATTCACTGCAGAGACTCACAATTTTCCAACTGGTGTTGCTCCATTTAGGTAAATCACTTAGAAATCTCCTGGAAATATCATTGTTAGCTTTCATAAACATTGCAATTTACAGTGGGGCTACAACTGGAACTGGAGGGAGATTGAGAGATATTCAAGGAATTGGTAGGGGAGGATATTACATTGCTGGGACTGTTGGTTATTCTGTTGGTAATTTACAAATTCCAGGTTTGTATTTTTTTATGGCATACACAAAAGCAAGAAGGTCTGCCATTGTCGCTAAATTCTCAATGCTCTTCTTAGGATATGATTTACCTTGGGAAGAGAAAAAAGTACCATATCCTAACAATATGGCTTCTCCTTTGAAGATCATAATCGAAGCTAGTAATGGAGCATCTGATTATGGCAATAAATTTGGAGAACCACTAATATCTGGCTTTTCTCGTTCGTTTGGTATGACTGACGATGTCGGTGTACGACGTGAATGGATTAAACCCATTATGTTCAGCGGAGGATTGGGTACAATGGATGCTGATATGTCTCAAAAAGTTTCACCACAGAAAGGTCAGTAAATATTACTTAAATAATTTTTATGACTCATGATGTAAAAAAATAAAAAATCGTTATATCTCAGGCATGGAAGTCATTAAAATTGGTGGACCTGTTTATAGAATTGGTGTGGGGGGTGGTGCAGCAAGTTCCATTGAGGTAATTTTACATAAATTGCAAATAATCATGTAACCAATTGATATTGTAAATGATGGATTAAAAGCTACGAATTATTAGGTGCAAGGTGACAACAAGTCAGAATTAGATTTTGGAGCTGTGCAGAGAGGCGATCCAGAAATGGAACAAAAATTGAACAGAGTAGTTCGTGCTTGCATTGAAATGGGAAAACGGAACCCAATACTTAGCATACATGACCAAGGAGCTGGAGGCAATGGTAAAAAAATATTTTACTATAATTAGTAATATTATAGTTTTACATTATTACTTAATTTTTTAAATCTATATTAGGTAACGTTCTGAAAGAATTAGTAGAGCCCGCGGGTGCAGTAATTTTCGCAAAAAAATTTGAATTAGGCGATCCCAGCATCAGTACCTTGGAACTATGGGGCGCTGAGTATCAAGAAAATGACGCGATTCTTTGCAAATCGGAAGACAGTAATTTGCTCAAAGAAATAGCAGCGCGTGAAAAATGCCCTATTAATTTTGTGGGAATTGTTACCGGAAATGGGAAAATCATTCTTTCTGAGGAGGATAATTGTGATCCATCAAAATGTTTAAATGCAAATTCTGAAAAAAATACAAGGCACCCAGTTGATTTAGATCTAGAAATGGTACTTGGAAAAATGCCTCGCAAGGTGAATGATATAACATTTAACACAGATAAATTATATTTAATAAGATTTAAATGAAATATTTTTAACATTCTTGCAGACTTTTAATCTTCAAAGACAGACAACTCAATTACCTGCTATTAAGTTACCTGCAACATTGACTGTGCAAGCTGCTTTGGAAAGAGTTCTACGTTTGCCTTCGGTAGCAAGCAAACGATACTTAACTAACAAGGTTGATCGTTGTGTCACCGGATTAATTGCACAACAGCAATGCGTTGGTCCTTTGCACACTCCCCTTGCAGATGTTGCTGTTACTGCTATCTCTCATTTCTCCACAGTAAAGAAATATAACAATAAAACCAATAAGAATGAAAAAAGGTAGGAGTAGTACAGTGCAACATATTCTATTGTGCAGGTTGGTATTGCAACTTCTATTGGAGAACAACCAATAAAAGGTCTCGTAAATGCAGCAGCAGGAGCTCGTATGACCGTGGCAGAAGCTTTGAGCAACTTAGTTTTTGCACACATTTCAGACATACAGGTTTTCATTTCTTTCGAACTTTAATTTAATCTCTCAAATAATTATTCTTATTATAGCTAATATATTATATATCTAGGATGTTAAATGCAGTGGAAACTGGATGTGGGCTGCTAAATTATCAGGAGAAGGTGCTGCATTATATGATGCATGCTCCGCTATGTGTTCACTCATGAACGAATTAGGAATTGCAATTGATGGAGGGAAGGATTCTCTTAGCATGGCGGCACGAATTGGTAAAGACGTGGTTAAAGCACCAGGAACACTAGTGGTTTCTTGTTACGCTCCTTGTCCTGATATACGACAAGTAAGTCACGAATATTTCCTAGAAAATTTTACTTAAACATTTATATTTACTTTTTTACGATTGTAGGTAGTAACGCCTGATTTAAAGGCACCTGCAGCAGGAAAAAATGGTTACGTACTATTTGTTGATTTATCAAACGGGCAAAATCGAATTAGTGGTACAGCTTTAGCTCAGGTTTATGGGTCTCTTGGAAATGATGTACCAGATGTGCAGCATGCTGCTGTGTTAAAAAATGCTTTCAAAGCTACTCAACATTTAATTGCAGGTAAACTGTATTTATAAAAAGTAATTAAATATAATTCATTATATGTATTAGCAGGTCATGACGTTAGTGACGGTGGACTTATCACATGCCTGCTTGAGATGTGTTTCGCCGGAATTTCTGGAATGAACATCAATATTTCTCATAAGTTAGGATCTCCCATTGAAATTTTATTCGCTGAAGAAGTAGGATGGATATTAGAAGTTGATCAGGAAAGTCATAATTACGTCCTGGACGTATTTAAACAGTATAATGTTCCTGTATATTTAATTGGACTGTCAACAGGATGTGGATTATCATCCAAAGTACGTATTTTATATGTTGCACAAAATTATAATATAATTTCTACTATGGATATTTTATAATTTCAGGTAAATGTCAAAATACAAGAGAAGATGGTTCTGGATTCGACTGTGTTATCATTAATGAATTTATGGGAAGAAACTAGTTATCAATTAGAACGTCGGCAAACGAATGTTGATTGTGCACTTGAAGAATTCAGTGGACTAAAATATAGAATTGCGCCAGCTTATAAATTAACGTTTAATCCTGATATTAGGTCAATTGCAGTTCAAAAACATGTGTCCTGTTAGTAAAACTTTGATTCAATATAAAAGTTAAAAATATTTTGAGGAATTTTATTTTTTATTTTGTGCTATATGTACAGCAAACATTGCGGTTGCCGTGATAAGAGAGGAAGGTATAAACGGTGATAGAGAAATGGCGGCGTCCCTAATGGACGCTGGTTTTGAAGTTTGGGATGTGACGATGCAGGACCTATTACAAAGTAAGACTACATTGGATAGATTTGAAGGTGTCATATTTCCTGGTGGTTTCAGTTATGCAGGTAAATTATTCGCTAGATAGATTGTTATTTTATTAAATGGAAATGAATAAAAATTAATTAAATTAATTTCAGATGTTTTAGGTTCTGCTAAAGGATGGGCTGCAAGTCTTCTGTTACATCCATCTATTCAACAACAATTAACAGCATTCATTTCTCGCAAAGATACATTTAGCTTAGGTGTTTGCAATGGATGTCAATTAATGACTTTATTAGGATGGATAGGAAATGAAACTGGTATTGTTTAATTAAATAATTACGTGCACAGAAAATTGTTAACACGTTGAGCGCGGAGCCGATTTCGCTCTGCTTCCCGTTCAGGCGGCACACAGCGGCAATCACTTCGCGAGCTGTTCGGTTATAGAGTATAAACAGAAGATAACAAATGCGCTCTTTTGCGAAGATAACAAATATTTATTTTTTAAACATGATACTGTCGGTCCCACGGACCGACGCCACCTAAACGAAAAGTTCACTGTCAGTTCCCACGGACCGACGCCGCCTAAACGGAAAGTTCACTGTCAGTCCCCACGGACTGACGCCGCGCTTAACGTGTTAAGTATGATTAACTTTAGTACCTGTCTTTTACTTTGCAGATGATGCTAAAGAATCAGACGTTTTCCTCGATCATAACGCGTCGGAACGATTCGAGTGTCGATGGAGTACTGTCAGAATTGATAAATCGCCATCGATCATGTTAAATGGAATGGAAAATAGCATCTTAGGTGTATGGGTTGCTCATGGTGAAGGAAGATTTACATTCCGAAATAATGAGGTTTTAAAGAAACTAAAAGAGAATCATTGTTTGGCTATTAAGTACACAGATGATTATGGTAATCCAACCGAACGATATCCACTTAACCCTAATGGAAGTACAGGTAGTACTTAATTAAATGTTTTTTCTACATGATGCAACACTAAGAATATAAACATGTAATATTTATAATTTGTTGTAGAGGGTATAGCTGGTATTTGTTCCGCGGATGGACGCCACTTGGCAATGATGCCTCATCCTGAGCGATGTACACAAATGTGGCAATGGCCTTGGAAACCCACTGATTGGAAGAATATCGCCTCGCCATGGCACCGCATTTTCGACAATGCGTACACATGGTGCGTAACAAAAAATTGATTTAATGATTTTTTAAATATTTTTCACTGTTCAAATCAACGTGTAAATAAAACGATTACATATTTTCTAAATAAACTTCATCACGTTATTTAACGGAACTTTGAGTTACAGATTATAAAATTCTTTATTTCCTACTCTCCTAACAAAGTATGGTAACGTTGTTTTGTCAAGTATTACAAAAAAGGTAAATTACAGTTAACATTCGTTAATATTTACTTAGTGTTATTTAAATGAATTCTGTCTGACTTTGAACAATTGGTTTGCCGTATACTGCGAGAACTGATTCGTATTAAAAATATTTTCTAAATGCAAATCACACCGTAATATCACAACTCCAGATGGATTAACCTTAACTTTTATTTTTGTTTGCGGTGTCAGAACACCGTAACTCACATCTTCATATAGATCCTAAAAAAATGCATAGATTGCTTTAGATATTTTATTAAATTAATTAAATGAAAAAATAAATGATCGTCTATAATTACATACCTCTACACTATATCCTCCAGGATACTGCAGGCCAAGTTCTTTTAACGTAACAGACACATCAGACGGTGTACCATCCGTCCTTCTATTTACAAACGCTATGGCGTAAGAAAAGTATTGCTGATAAACGGGGGTTATTGGCCTCGCCCAAATTTCAATACCCTTGTGCTGAAATTATCGTGAAGTTCAAATACATGTAGCATGTTTAGTTTCAATAAACATACAGGGTAAATTTACTAACTTTGTAAATGCGACGACCCTGTATACCTAATGGGTCCTGATCCACGGCTATAATTTTCTTATTTTGTAAAATAGCTTTGTACTCGGGTCTAATCGTTCGTAGATCAACGGACATTAATAACGGGGCCGCTAATATAGCCCACAATGCCATTTGTGTTTTGCTTTGTTCGTAGCTTAGTCCGAAATTTCCGATAATCAACATATCGGGATCGTTCCAATGCCCGGGACCTGCGTTTGGCACAATTGCATCTTGATTGTTTCCATAATAATCTATAATTGTTTCTAAACTATTCCACGAGTCTTGTATATCGTCGAAATTTCTCCATAGATTACAGTGTTCTGTTATGGCAGTGAAATTTGGCTAAAATTTTGTACAATTTAGAATTTTGTAATTTCACTTATATTATGATATTACACTGATACCAACCTGCATGCCAGCATAAATCTGATAAACTGGCCAACTACAAGAATATACCATAGGTCTGCCAGTTTGGTTCAAGTAGAATCCAAACTCAGGATATCCTATAATATTTAATGAACTATCAATAGGAAGCTCCTTGGATAAGTATGTTATTACTGGATGCTTTAATAGTACCTCTGTCCATTTCAGAAGGATGGGAGTAACATCCATCCAACTTTACATAATCAACATCCCATGATGCAAAAGTAAGTGCATCAGTTTCTAAATACCCCAATATTCCAGGGTAACCAGCACATGTATAATTACCAAAGTCCTCATAAATTCCAAACTTAAGACCTTTAGAGTGTATCTACATTGTAGAAGTAGTAAAATTAGAACTGTAATTTTTTTTTATAAGACATTCACAGCTAGTGAAAACCTACATAATTTGCAAGACTTTTCATGCCATATGGGAACCTTTGTCTGTCTGGTACTAAATTGCCATTCCTGTCTCTGTCTTTTTCTAGCCAACAATCATCAATATTAATGTACTCATATCCAGCTGCAGCATAGCCTTCTGCTACAACAATGTCTGCCATTGTACGAAAGAGTTGATCACTATAAAGTGTGAAAATTCAGTTTTATGTAATTATATTAAGTAGATTTCTTTTCTTTACATTATAATTTTTTATCATAACAGAGAAGACATTCATTACTTCAAAAAGATTGTTCTGTTATGAAGATACAATTGTTGCAAAAGATTCTTCTTCTATTGAGAGATGCTTTACATATTACATATTTATTGATTATTAGCAATAGAACCTTGAACTGAAATACAAATTTACATAATAGCTATGACACAGCAGTAAATTAAGTTATTAAGAATCATTTTTAATGTCACACATTCTTAATTACAGCTTATATCAGCTACTTCTGTTCTAATTGATATTTTGTGGAACAAATGTTTGCAGTTTTTATTTCATGATTATAATTTTCATATATTTATAAAATATAAGTATATTTATAACAGTATGATATTTATTTCCCTTCTACATATTATAACAATAATAGTGATTCTCACTAAACAATTTAATATCAGATATAACAGTACTTATTGAATTCTCAACAAAGTAAAACTACAAGTTTACTTTCAAATAAAAATTGTATATACTCCAATCCTAAAGAACCTTCTTGTTACACATACGTGATTAAAATTTCTATATACAATTGTTTCATGATATATTTCATGGTATAGAAGCATTATTTTATTATATTTGCATAAGCATTGATTAATATTTTATGCATATCAAAACACTATCTAATATTTTATGCTCACAAAGGTATTAACATATTTCATCAGGTATTCATTTTCTAAGATTTTACTTTACTTTTTACAAAATGAAATTTTTCAAAATTTTAATATTTGTAATTAACAATCATTTATCTGTATTACTTTTGCATAAAAATCATGCTCCATATTTTGTTCTTGAGTTGTTAAAAACTGAAATTTTTAATGGTAATCTGTAGATATAGAGATATGTAACAGAGATGCTAATGAAGTTTCACTTTACCATTAAGAATCACATTATACTGTTAAATACCGTTTGGGCCAAGAACATGCAACAATTTCCAACACAAATAAATCCAGAATAAAGCAATTTTAAATCCAGATTTCAGAAAAATCACAAGAATAAAAAAGAAGCACAAAGAACAACACTCTCACCTGATACAATTGTCAGGATCATTTTTACAGTCTGTGTTGCACCTGAATCGTTCCCAGGCAAGCCACCCCATGGGTGGTGTTTTCACCAAACCATTTTCAAGGGCCAATGTCAAATCTGCCACTGACACAACCAAACACCATATCCATATTATCTGCAACATTCTGCAAAAACGCACGTTTCTTTGTAACTAATCAAACTTTTCACTGATTATAAAACACTGAACACAGATAATTTCTGACTGTATGACTCCGGTAGCATAATTTATTTAAATTAATATAATTTAACAAAGGAACACTCTCTGTTGAAGTTGGCAGAGAATCTGGTCATTAGGAGCGAAGTAAAATTGCCATCCACATCCTGCACAGCTCTTGGCAGACTGATCTGATATAAGACCTCCAAGCCAAGAGTACTTTCACCCAATGCCCCATTTCATTTTTACACACAATCACTGTCGTTCGTAGTGTGAACATTGATTTCCTTTCGTACACAGAACGAACGGCTTTGTACACTAACGCACGGATCGACGTTGTAACTATTACGGTACAATTACGCCTACGAAAGACAATCGCGGTTATTTTATCCCGCGAATCTCCTTTGTCTTCGGCTACCTCGAACGATCGTTGTTATTATAACAGTTAATCCTTTTAGACACGTGTTGCATACATTCTTTCTAACTGACAAATATCCTCCGTTTATGTTCAATTGACACACTAACTTTGCGTGAAATGTTTGAACTAATGACAACAATTTATCCATTAAAAAAGTGGTAGGAACAGAAGGTAAAAACGATTCCCGCGTAACAGTTTTGTAAATTAAACAGATGAATGGTTATTACGTTAACTTGGAAGAACTTGACAAACTTTAATTCTAGAGTTATGGTTGCTTCTGTTATTTTAGCTGCGCGTACGACGATAAACTTGAAACTTTAGTGACTGAGGAGAATAATGAGACACGTTACATAGATTCCAACGCGAGGCGGACGATTGGAGGCGAATGTTATGTGCAGAATATAATGCCGCGAAGTCTGAAGAATGTTTATTTTGAGAAGACAAAGTATAAAATATGTGATAAAAAATTAATAAAAATGTTGTTTGCATTATATTTGTTAAAATTTAAGGGATCGGGTAATATGTAGGTTATTTGTTTTACAATATTCTTATGGAAGTATTAAAGAAGCAATGATTATTTAGCATAGCATGCTCAATTCTTGATCTCCACCGGTTTTACGGCAGCATTACTTTCCATACTTTCATTTCGATTACCTAATCAAAAGGAAAAATCAATTGTGCAAAGATAGATTTTGGTATTCCTTTATCGACTGACGATATCACAGTGATATTGGTCTAAAAATAATTTCTAATTAAAATTCTATAAGCGAAAACATAAAGTAAAAAATAAGCAAATATTTGATAATATTCATTTTAATTGAATAATTGAATGCAATTTTTAATTCTTGCGAAACAATGTAAGAATAATTATCACCAAAAATTTACATACCCTTAGGCTTCTAATAAATCGATGATAGGATCGATTTTCAACACTATTCAGGTATAAACAATTCACGAACCTTTGTAAGAGGATTTTAACAATTTACGAGTTTTCAAATTTTTTTACGTTAATTCATAATAATTAAATAATAAATACTATACTACGAAATAAAATGTCAATTTTGAAACACTCCTTCCATTTATATTCTTCCCAAAAATCTTAAGATTTGTTTACACACGTAAGATAAGACAAGTTATCGATGATATTGTTATTGCACAAATTTCATGATAATGCAAAATTTATCTGACTGTAATTAATCTGGATTAAATACATTTAATCGGTCAAATTTTTAACGGTTTTATCACATCTTTGAAATTATATAATACATTGTAACAACTAAATTCTGAAGTTTTATATAAATATTTAACAATTTTGATAAATATACTTACCCTTTTCAGCGAAATTATGCATTTACTATCGTAGTATAAAATACGTTTTCAAGATATTGTGCGTCGTATATATACCTGGAAATTTGTATACACAACTTAAATAAACACTAATTGTTTATTTTGATATCGTTCAACATTCTATAGATAAATTTTTCTATGTTTTTGTTTAATTTTCACTCGTGATAAGAATGATGGAAATAGTATCGATGCATACTTCACATTTTCTTTATTATTATTATTTTTCGTTTAATTATAAAGAGCACTTTTAAATAAAAATATTCAGGATATCAAGATCAATTCTTGCAGATCATCTAGAATCAATGTACGAATACAGCAAATCTGAATACACTCGATCACGCACTATATCGTTGTATTATCTCAATACTGAAGCAATTTCACACACAATTATCTTGAAACCATCTTAATACAATGATCTAAACTTAAAATTATTTCATACAATTACATACACTGCCAGTCCAAAATTACAAATCACTAGACATTTCAGTGAATATTGATATCAACATACACCTATAACAAGTGTTTCTAAAACTTTTAACTGCTACTATACATTACATCATTCAAATACTGTTCAATTCCGATGTTCCGCTTGTGTCTGACTTCTATGACTCCACAAAGAATTGTGGATGATAGGATGACATTCCAAATTTTGGAATTATTCGTACTCTGGCTCATCTTGATTAATGATTAAAAAGTAAAACCATCCTATACAGATATATATTTCAAACTATTCGAATACTACCCAATTCCGGAGTCTCGCCGCCCTTGTATATGTATTGCGACAGGGAGATTCGAGGGTGGCGCCCCGAGGCGTCACACCACCGAATTACCGATTCTCCATCTTCATCTCGCTCTCTTCGTGACTCTCTTCGTTTAACTTCTTCCTCGTTCCCGTTCGGCCGTTCCGAACCCCCAACAATCCCGCAGCCACCGTCTAACGCGGGGCTGCTGGAGGGTCAGTCGGTTTCACTTGGCACAAGGAAAACGTGTTCGCCACCCGCGGTCGCGCATATTTTTTTTCCCGTGGCCGCGCGTGCTTTACGTCAACCGCCTTTATCAAAACGGTTCATCGGTTAATCCTGTCGCGCGACATGTCATGTGAGTAAATGGTCGCGCGTTTCCGACGCGTTATGGCGTGGAAGTGGTGGTCAACCATTGCAGTGGCATCGTTCTCGTCCGACGACACGGGGATATATCACCGCATTGACGGCCAGCTGTGTTGAGTTTCTGTGGAAACATGAAGATCCCGCCCCTGTCATGACCCAGGTACGCGAATATCCTGATTTATAACTCCATTCACTCAGGTACCTCATCTGGCAGATTTTGGAATAGGTGTTGCGTTCTGTTTCGTCATCCACGGTTTCTTCTCACGCTTCGATACAGTATCGAAAAGATAGTATGTATTTACATTATTCCAGACGCGGTGTTTGACATTCACCTCGACTAGTTCGTTTCGTAATGTTTATAGGTATTGTAACAATGTTTGAAAAAAGTATTCATTGTCCATAGATCGAGTGTTATTTCATCTTGCTCAGATCGAGGAAATTTTTGTTGGTTACTAGGTAGATTATGTTGGGTAGATTGTGGTAGGGTGCATCTGCAATCTATTGGTGCATAAGAGGTAACTCGAAATGTTTCGCGAGATCAGTGACTTGGAATGGTGTGTTTCAGCACATAGTTCTTGTTGAATTCGACTGATGATCGTGGCTCGAGATTAGGTGCTATTACAAAGAGGTTGGGTGTTCCTTTGAATGGCAGATTTCGGTGCCATTGACGCGCAAGGAGCTCGGACAAATCGCATGAATGGGTAATGGCGGCACCCCGAGACAATAATTTTAGATAGTGACACACATATAGCGCTGCGATCGTCCCATTGATCTGTGTTACATCAAAGTCCACATTTCCCAACTTTGGCAAACTTTTTTAAAATTTCCATCGAATTTTATATTCTGTATATGCAATTTAAATTTATATTCAAAAAGAATTATATAAATCCTTTATTATTTTGTAGAATTATCCTTAAAAGTTCCACGTATATTAAGATAGTAATAAAGTAGTTCAGACAATTAACCATTATCATCTACCAACTTCTTTAAGTGTAACGAAGTTTGTCGCGTTTTAAGAGTCATAAACATCCACCTTGAATCGCTTTTTATTACAGCGCTGCGCGCGTGGTTCTACGTAGCACATACCGTATGACGTATGCCTTTAACGTGGGTACGTAATTTCTGTGTACTACGCGAACCGTGTAAATTATTCAAAAGTTAAAGTGGTCAGATATGGGTGCATCGTTGATACACCAAAGTAAAAACGGCTAATTAAATCGGTATCGAAAGGATAATCTATTCGTGTTAAAATGTAACGTGCAACGATTATTTCAAAAACCCTTCGGTATCTATGTTAACCATCTTTTTCAATTCTCGCAATATGCATCAAGAGGTTAGCCGTGAGAATTCTTGCAACAGAATCTACTATTCATTTTTTTCATCCGCGATCCGGTTCTGTCATACGTTTTTCCCATGGTTGATCACAACGTAGCTCTATGTTATCGCGTTTCAGCTTTTCTTCGCGATATTGGCGGAATGTTTTAATTAAAATTCAAGATTCTAATTGATCTCGTAGGAGTGATGGAATATCATGTTAGTCCGGAGTTAAAATTTTTTTGGTGGCCGGCCAAAAAAGCGGCGTTATGCGCGATGACGTTTTTCGTTCGTAGTCCATTTTGGCTCACTATTTACCATATTTTATCTAGGGCGGCGCGGGTAAATCGATACGCGTTACTTTCATTCATGGCTGCCTCCCCTCGCACGGCTGGCACGTTGCCTCTGCGTACCACCACTGACGATCAACCCCCTGCCACCCCCCACCACCTCTATCTCGCCCATTAGTGGCATGGCTATCTCTGTTGCAGTGATTCTCAAATTCCCTCCCCCGCTGTCGCGCTCCATATGACGTCATAGGATAGATTCGAATCGCGTCGAACGTTCACCGAATGTTAAATATCGATCGAGAACTATCACTGATAAAATACTTAACGATATCAACGGATTTATTGGTTCGTTTGTAAAGAATGCTTGTTACGTTCGTTTCTATGGGAAACTATTTTTAAAGTTCTCATATTGGAAATTTTCAGCGGTATGGAAATTTAACTGTTTGCACTCCACTGATGTTACTACGGCGACATTCGTAATACGCGCCATAGCTCAAATGAACAGCAGAAATAAAAATAAATAAATTTATTAAGATTTATAATGTTTTGTTTTAAGTTTCACTTTAAAGAAAAAATGTTGAGAGTGCAAAGATTTAATAATGGCATTTCAGTGGTTCTCTAAAAAGTAGAAATAGCATAATATTTAACGGTATACTCACATTTTCGACTGGAACCTTTTTGGAAACGGTTTTCCGTCTATTATGCGTACAAAGTTGAGCTGATCAGGTCTGATAGAATACTGTTAACAGTTTGTTGGTGCGACGAAAGCAAGCGTGGTCATTAGTATGCTGGAACTTGTCGAATTATCTTTACGAGTCTGGCATGGTGTGCGCTTTAACGTTACGTGTACTTTATCGAACGTGTTTAACATTCTGCACGTGAACTTGTTGTCTTAGCTTCGTTTAACTAGACCTGTATGTTCATCATATCTCGAAAGGTAATATTATTAAAAAAAGAATTTCAAACACTGAAACACTTGTTCATTCGAATATCGAAAAATGAACAAGTGAAACTTACATCGATGGAATTTAATAAAAATCAAGTGCCGGTAGAAACTTTCAAATTAGAAATTTCCTCCCAAAAAAAAATAATTTCCTTCTTCAAACTTTTCTTCACCGAATTACTTTTTCTTTTTTTAAGAATTTGTCATTTATCCACCGATCGTCGCGTCTGAACCCCGAAAGGGTTGAATCTTTTGTTAAGCGCGAAAGAAAAGAAATAATTCTCTTAATAATCGATAGAGAAT